GTGGCCCGTACCCAGAGCTTGTTGGCTGCCTCATGTACCTGATGACCTGCACACGACCTGACCTCGCATACCCTCTTAGCATTCTTGCACGGTATGTTGCTCCTGGGAGACACAGACCGGAGCACATGGCTGCAGCGAAGAGGGTGTTGCGCTACTTGTGCAGTACGTCGGGCATGGGGCTTGTGCTTGGAGGGCAGAGTCCAGTGGTCCTCACTGGGCACGCAGACGCTTCTTGGGCTGACGACCAGGCTACGCAGCGGTCGTCACAGGGTTACACCTTCAGCCTTGGTTCCGGCTCTGTTTCGTGGCGGGCTACCCGCTCGTCTTCTGTTCTCGGCTCCAGTTGTGAGGCTGAGATCTACGCCGGGGCCATGGCTGCACAGGAGCTTCGCTGGCTCACCTACCTGCTGACTGACCTCGGAGAGCCGCCTCGTTCTCCTCCAGTGCTGTACGTAGACAACAAGGCCATGCTGGCCTTGTGTCGAGAGCAGAGACTGGAGCACAGAACGAAGCACATTGCTCTCCGCTACTTCCTTGCTCGTGAGCTACAGCAGCGTGGTCAGCTGCGGCTTGCGTACGTGGCCTCTGAGGCCAACACTGCTGATATCTTCACCAAGGCACTTGCGCCTTGTGATCATCAGCGCTTCTGTACTCAGCTTGGTCTTGTGCCTACCTTGCCTCACTTGCTCACCCCTTGACCTTGTTTGTACTGTTGCATACATATATACACCTGCTCTTGCTTGTCTAGTCTTATATATATATATATATGCAATCCTGCATGTGAACTGGCCTTGTGGCCTTGAACTTGTGCTCGGAATGAGTGGTGACTTTGTGATCCACCCTGAGCTTGTTTTGCTTTGCTTGACTGGTCTTGTGACCCCTTGTTCTCCCCCACTTTGCCTATGGGGGTGTGTCAGATTTATATGACATAGCTACTGTAGGCTATAGTGGGGTAGCACATATGGGGTACAGTTTTCTAGGGTTTGCTTTTTGTACCCAACTTTCACTTAGTCATTTCATTCCTGTTTTCTTAATTCACAGGTACGTGAGGCGCGTTTCTGGCTCGGGCGCGCATGTCTGGCCAAGGGCACGCGTTCCTGGCTGGGGTGCGCGTTCCTGGGCAGGGGCGCGCGCTGCTATGTCCGGTTGGCGCGCGCTGCTCTGCTAGGGCGCGCGCTGCCCTGCACGTTGGCGAGCGCTGCACTGCAGGGGCGCGCGTTGCTCTGCACGGGCGACGCGACGGGCTGGGGCAGGGCGCACGGGCGACGCGACGGGCTGGGGCAGGGCGCACGGGCGACGCGACGGGCTGGGGCAGGGTGCACGGGCGACGCGACGGGCTGGGGCAGGGCGCACGGGCGACGGGCTAGGGCAGGGCGCACAGGCGACGCGACGGGCTGGGGCATGGCGCACGGGCGACGCTACGGGCTGGGGCAGGGCGCACGCTAGGCTAGGGCGCGGGCTGGGCGCGGGCTGAGCGTGGGCTCGCGCTAGGTTAGGGCGCGGGCTCTAGGGTCGCGCGGAAACGGGCTAGGAAGGAGGGCGGAACCTAGGGCGTGAGGCGCCACGGACGGAGCGAGCTAGGCTAGGTGAGGCGAGGGAACGAACCTAAGGCGTGATACCATCTCAAGAAGTACGCAGAACGGAATGGTTGATTAGGAAAGGTGGTGGGTACAAATGAAAACCCTAACAACCTATACTCTCTAATGCATGCATCACTACAGCCTAGAACATACAAATATATATGTTTGACAACTTCTGTTTTCAACAAATTTTCCCTTATCGTAACATAAACAACACAAATGAAAAAACATTCCCATCGACATTAGTAAGCTTGCCCCACGCGCTCCGCAATTTGGGCCTCGGGCTTTGATGGAAATCGAATTGAATGCGTCCTCCGGCTTTAAATGGGGCGGCGATCATTTTTGCGACCATCCCTCATTGTTTAGTGACTAACATCCTACCAAATGCGTTAAAATGCACCTCTTTTTTACCTCCCCCCTTTTTTTCCCGTACAAAATATGTTGATTACTAATGGCATGTTTTCCTCTGTTAATATTTTTAGCAGTATAAACTGTTACAGCGGCGGATGTTTTAGCGCGCACCCTCGTTCGCAAGGCTCTTTCAATCCCACATTCCCCCTCACATCGGCCTGATAACTTTCCCTTCCCTTCACCCGGTCCGGGCCCCACCCAGTTCCATCCCCCACCCGTTCCATCCCCCACCCAGTTACAACTCCCACCCGCATTGTCACAAGGGTAATTACCTTCTGGGTAACTCACATCGAGCCCGCTGACGTCAAAAGTCACCTACGTGGCTCGATGGTACCCGTCAGATCATGCGCGCCCCTTCGTGGTACCCATCTTCCCTCCGTGGTACCCATCTTCCCTGCGTGGTACCCATCAACTGTGTGCGAATTCCCTGACTGGTACCGCAACATTTCAACCGAGCTGTACACCGTACACCAAGGGTTTCAATGCGTTTTTCAGTATATTGTCTTAACGTTTACAAGCTCAATAGAGTCAGAAGCCCGAAGTGCCACCTAATCGAGTCAATTTATCACACGCATTACCTATAATAGAGTGTAGAAGAAAAGCTGGATTCTTAAATAAAAAACATTCATTGTGTAGATTTGTTTAGGCTAAGAAACATCGACAATATAACGTGCTATAAGATAACGTAAAACTGATATATTGCATCAACTGAAAAAAAACATCCGTATAGCAAACAATCAACTTACACGTTAAGTATATATTGACTTAAGGTACATTTAATTTTTATTATGGGTATTGTTTTGTTTCCAAAACCAACGAATGTACGTATTATTTGTTTATGATTTTATGTTTAGCTTTGGGGGTGCATGCTCAATTTATTTGCATACAACCTTATAAAGTTTGTTCAAATAACCGACTGAGCGCTGCGAAACATGGTCGCAAGATTCACTTTACCTATCGTTCAGTGGTGTGAGCTTACGAAGGTTCGGAGTTAATGTGAGGATTTTAGAAGAGGAGTTGATTTCTTTCTAAGTTGCACTCTGTCCAGTGTAAGGCACATTCAAACATTTATGTTCAAGGGTATTAATGTTCAATTAGAGTGTGTAAACGTTGTTATAATACGCATTGAAACCCTTGTTGTACTGAAAAACGCATTGAAACCCTTGTTGTACAGTTTACAGCTCAGTTTAAATGTTGCGGTACCAGTCAGGGAATTCGCGCACAGTTGATGGGTACCACGCAGGGAAGATGGGTACCACGGAGGGAAGATGGGTACCACGAAGGGGCGCGCATGATCTGACGGGTACCATCGAGCCACGTAGGCGACTTTTGACGTCAGCGGCTTCGATGTTGGTTACCCAGAAGGTAATTACCCTTGTCACAATGGTCCCTCCCTCCATGCCCTCCCCTCTGCCCGGGATTCAAGGTCCCATTCGTGGCGGGTCTAGCCTTGACGGAGAACCACCAACCAGCTAGCTGGGCCTCCAATTCCTCCATCCCTCCACCCCACCCCCAACACCTGAGCAAGCAAGACCCACCTTACACCACCCCACCCAAACCTACTCTACCCCACCTCACCACCACACGGATCAATCTACCGCTCACACCAGTCGACACGAAAGAAGGCCCCGTCACTCGCAAGGCTTGCTGTGCAACAAAACCTGTGAATGCGAAGAGACGAAAGGAGACGAGATACTCTTCGGGCACTACCGTCCCCAGGACCAGCCCGTCGTGCCGCCATAGACATGCACATATGCCCATTTTCTGGGCGTCAGTCATGGCCGTTCGTGGGACTGGATCTGCGACGAAACGGGGCGGAGCGAAAGCCACCAGAGATTGGCGGTTGGAGTTGGACGGATCCGCCTCGGATCACTTCCTTGCTTGTTTCTTCCCATGCCACGTCATACTCATGCGCCAAAGACTGAACACGATGAGATATTTTTATTCCGACCACTCGGCTTGGGTGGGTCGACCTAGCGCTGACCAATCGAACATGGCCGGCGCTTTTGCAAAACGGCCTCAGAGAGTGGAGTGCGTGAACGGGATCCCCCCTTTCAGACGATTCCGGCTATTTTCTGACGTAGAAGGCGCTCCGTACGGATTGCGTACGAGAATTTAGGTGTTAACTGGACGTTGTTGGCGTTACATATGCACACGTACGCTGCGTTGAAACCCGGCGTTTCTCGTCTCGACAGGGGGGACTTTCGCTCTGGTAACTACTGTGCCTTACCAACTGCCGCACACTCTCTCCAGTCGCACATGCGAGGAACGAGCTGAAGTAGCTGCGGCCCTATTTTAGCGCCTTTGTCCCATCACTTCCTTCGTAGAAGCACTCCTGTCGAAGCTGGCTATCCCAAGCGCAACTTACTCACGACTCTTGAATGTTCTCCTCTTGTGTCACTACGCCCCACCAGCAAATGTCCTCGACCGGGCCTTGAAAACGTAAGGAAAAGCTCTTCCCCACAAGCATTTGCTCTAGTCACGTCTGGTGTTCTCGCAATTGCAACCTGAGATCTCCACGTCAGCGTGCGGGAACACGCAGTTCCGTCTCTCCCCGGCTCGGCTGTCAGGCGAGCTGAGCAGTGCTCCCAGCGCTCTACTGCGACTGCTTCCCGCGCCTACCTGCCAAGCAGAAGACCCCTACAGTGGAAATTTGCGGCTAGAAGACCCCTACTACTGGTTTCCGCGCCTGCTTGAAACACTGCGACGACGCAGCGATGGTGGAAGAGGCGCAGCAGCCCGACTCCGGGCCGCAGCCCAGAACGATCATGGTAGCCGTTAATGGGAGCGACGCGAGCGACGCGGCTCTTCTGTTCGTCCTGAAGTCGATACTCTCAGATCAAGACAAACTGATCGTAATACATGTCAGACCTACAGGTATACCCTTCTGCTCTGCATGTTCCCATTCCTTCTGTGCTCTTTATGCTGCCGCTTTTCGTTTGCCTTTTCCTCATTCCTCGCATGCACTTATTGCATTCGTATCCGAACCCGTCTCGCATTTCTCGCCAGATAAGGACCTTACATCGCTCTACAGTGGCTTCGCGGATCCAGCGGCGGAGATTAAGTCCCACCATGCGTTCATCCGCGACACAATCAACGTCGCCGCAAAGACCATACACTCTCTAGGTTTCCCCGCGGCGCGCGTCAAGGTGGAGGAGGGCGATCCGAGGAAGGTTATTCCCAAGGTCGCCGAGGCGGAGCGGGTTGATTTACTCGTTCTCGGATCACAGGGAAAACGAACTTTACATGTAAGCACGTTGCTGCTCTTCAACTGTCATGTTCTGCAATCGCAATGTTGCTCGCTGAGGGGGTGTGTGATTTCTTTCCATTCATGCATCAGGAATGCTATTCCATCACGACGTCCCTAGGCCATATTCATGTCAAAGCGTTCTTGAACATCACACTTACCTGCCTTCTCCGCTACGTCCCATTTTCTTGAATGTGCCCCCTGGTTCCAGTATATGCTGGCGGGTGATGTGGCATCTCATTGTGCCAAAAAGTGCAGTTGCGCGGTTATCACGTACAAATCCATTAATGGAGGTTCAGTGGCGTTCAGTAAAAGAGCAGTGCAGGAGCAGAAGCGCCTAGGGATCTCGCTTTCTCAGTTCACACGGGAGGCCGATGATACTGACAGTGAGGCAGCAGCTTGATTATAAGAGAACTTGACTGAATGGTAAGGGATTGAGGAAGAGATGCATGCCTTATTTGATCTATGCATGCCCTGGTGCATGATGTCATTAGTTCGTGTGGGTAGATGTAATATTTTTTAGGTGGTGGTTTGCAAGCGAGTGTTTCTGTTTCACCTAATGCTGTATAATAACGAATGTAAACAGTTTTGCACTGGTGAAAGTGCTTGTACAGACGAACATTTCCGAAGCTAGTGGTCCGTTCTTCCCTAAGAAACGTTCGGGTGGTTGGAAAAGCAGCTCGGCTTTGGAACATTTCCCCTGCTAAAACACTTCAGAAAGTTTGTTACTGTTTCCTTCAGAAACGATTCGTACATTCTTGCCTCGTGTCTGACATCAGGTCATCCGCCCTTAGTCTCTGATTCGCCTCTTCCCAAGTTGATTTGCCCCTATTTCGAGCCACTTCGGGACTTCCGAGCCTCCAAGGGCGGATGACCTGATGTCAGACACGAGGCAAGAATGCACCCTCAGAGTCAAACATAGCAAGTGGCGAAGGTTGACCAGATGCTTTCACAAGATCAGATGCTACATATAACAGTTTCGTCGAAAGTTTTTAGCCTGAAACGGAATGTCCGAACCGAACTAACATCGGAAGATGTCGAGGCTTGGAAATTCCAGGCCACACCACCTGCCCAGCAGTGCACCTCCCTGAACCGTAGACGAAACCCCCATTTTTCCCTAACCACCGAGTTCAGTCTTGATTGAATGAACCGCATGCAAAACCCCCTTCCTTCCGCCACCATCCCGCCTGGCCTTGCAGCTTACTGCCAACAACAGCCGTTGATGAAGGCACCTACACCTTTCTCAACCGCAACCTCCGTCTCGTCAACCGTCGATTAGCACCTCCACACATTCCTCTCCATCCGTTGATTCCGGGGATCCCCATCTTTTCCCACCGGACACGAAACCCCTTCTCTTCCCCAACCACCGGCTTTCACCTTCTCACCTGTCGCCAGCAGATGCAGTGTGAAACCTGTCCGAAACCCCTTTTCTTCCGCCATCACCGAGTTTCACCTTCTATCACTTGTTTCTGACAGATCTAGCATCCCACCTTTCTGAACCGTGTAGGAGAACCTTGCTCTTGTAATCACCGAGTTCCACCTTCTCATAACCGTCTTGTCGTAATTAACCACGTGGTACCGTTTCTAGAAACTTCCCGCCAACTTTAGCCGTTCGGTACCGCAAACCAACCTCCTAACATTCATAATCTATGGCGCTTCAGCCTCACGCTACGAACGAAGGGTTTCAGCCGCCCAACGACGCGCTTGAGGCCCAAGTCGCTAACGACGCTCTCCAGCCGCACCCAGCCAACGTCGACGGCTCGTTAACACTATCACTAACACCCGTGCCCAAGGCCGAAAAATCGAAGGTCCTAAATGGAGCAGCAGCGGAGCGCTACAAGCTTCCAATGGTCGTCAATTCTCTCCCCTCCGACCAATCCACGGACTCCGTTCCGGGGAAACGGCGACCTAATCTCGTGACCGGGCTTCACGGCGTGAAGGTCCTCTACGGCCGGTTTCAGAGCTCCATCGACTTCGACGGCCAGCGGCACACGCTGGGGACGTGGGACGACCCGATGGAGGCTGCGAAGGGATACGCAGCCGCAGCGTATATGATCGTTCATCTGGGCGTGCGCGCCGTGTCCGCTATCCTGACGGAGGAGGAGCAGGCGTGCTTGAAGCGAATGTCGCACGACGATTTCATAACGATCCTGAAGTTCCCCGGCGCGTGGAAGCAGTGGCAGCGGTGGGAGGAGCTCATGCCGCGGTGGCGCGCGCACTACGAGAACCTCGCGCGCAAGCACGGGGAGATGGACACCGTGCGCATCGGGCGGAAGAAGCGCAAGGGGAAGGAGCAAGCCATTGCGCCCGTGGGAAAATTTACTGCCGCCGCCGCGATGAACGGCCTGCAGACGCCTATGTTTGCTCTCGACCCAGGCATGCACGTGGAGCAGGGGATGGTGGGGGAGGCAGTAGGGGTAGGAGTCGTAGGAGGGGTGGGAGTGTTGGGGGGGGTTGTGGGGGGAGAAGTTGCAGGGGTAGGAGGAATGGGTGCGGTTGGGGAGCAAGGAGTTTTGGAGAATGGGTACGCTGGAGGGGAAGGGGAGGAGGAGACTGGTAGCAGCATTGAGGGAGGGCAAGCTTCAAGGAAGAGGGCGAGAGGACGAGTGTGATGATGAAGTTGGAGAGGGGTATAGGAAGGATCTGATGTGGGAAATAGTAGGTATGCCAAGGAGGTTGGCAATAGGGAGAATTGTGGATACAGGGAAAATGCCTGTTTGGGTACCGAGAATGACAGAACAGAGTGGGTGGCAGGATTTGCAGTCAGGAAGAACTCTTGAAAGCCAAATGCTGAATTTGATTTGTACCACTACTAAGGGCGCATAACCATTTTGGTTTTGACGGTTCGTTATTCGGACAGTCCGTTCGAAATAGTGGTAACTTTTGTCGCCAATATTCGTCGATGTTTCGCTAGTCACCTTGCGACGTCGCCGTCGCACGTATGGAACTTTTTCCGCAAAACGGAGGGAACCCGTCACTTGGACGGCTACGGTTCGTCAGCAACGAACTGATCAAATATGGCGACTTGTGGTTGGCGCGCGAAAAGACGCTGATTTTGCGGGAACTGTCGAAACTGACATTTCATCGCTGCCAAACTGACCGTAGATTGTGTTTTGAATTTTTAATCTGAGCCGCCAAACTAACTGTACGAATCTCGCCTGATTTCGTAACATTTCTCAGTTTCGCGAGTATTGAAAACTTGAAAAAAGTTCAACTTGACGGTTCGAATATTCGAGTTCTGTTTCGATAAACGGACGGTTCCATATCGGAAACGGACCGTCCATTTATCGAACGTTCGTTTCTAAACGTAACTTCAAGAAAAACAAAAATGGTTACGCGCCCTAATTGTCCCCTTTTTATTTCTTGATGGATGAAGCTAGGGTAGTAGTACACCAGTGATTTGCATAATAAGCTTCTGATTGCATAAGGACTAATGCACCTTGAATCAAGATGATAGGTGTTATGAGTTGTAAAAGAGAGTGCGCAGAATAACGAATAACGAGAATGATTGATTCCTCAATGTCGATACAATGAAAGTGGCACGACTAAATAGGGGAAAGCCTAGCTAGGCGGGGGGTTCGGGAAGGGATGGCTCGGTGATGTTGCGATTGGAGCGGAGGCCGACTCGGGGGTGGTTCGGTGCGACGAATTAGGCCGAACAGGTTCGTCGTGTGACCCTCGGGATGGCCTTGCTAACGAGTGCCTCAGTAAGGATTTGTAAATCCTTACAATAGGCTAGTGTACCTGTGTAGTTCCATTATGATGATCACAATTCATGTTCCTCGCTTCTTAAACAGATTCTGATGTGGTATATCTCTTTGTCGAGACTGTCCCTAACGACAGCAACGGGAACTGCTCCTCCAACACGTCCCCAGGTGCACCAATAACATGGAACCAGGCGGGCATGTCAAATTGGAATTCTACCAATAGGGTGTGCCCGGCGGCACAGCTCATCAGAACCTTGGCGAATGTATGCCAACGAGGTTTCCCGCCAAGACATTTTCCAGGAATCAAGCTTTCACTCAAGCAACCACAGCTTCTCGCGAGACAATATTCAGAGAATACCTGTGACCATTCATAAGACACGAGTGAAAGCAGGCGAAACCGTAGTGTGGCAGATAGTCAGAGAGAATGCCGATGTGAGGACTTCTTCCATCCATGAGGTCCAAACATTCACAATAAGGCACCTGCATTGAGTGCATTATTAGTAGCTCCGCGTACTAAGTATTTGGTTCTCCCGACGCGCTTTCATCAGAATGCAGGAAGCTGAGTATTCTGTTCAGCCCGAATGAGGGTGACGGAGTGAGACACAGACTTACCGGTCGCCGTCAGCAGATCATTGACGCTTTGACGGCCGTCAGCAGATCATTGACGCATTGACGGTTCTTCTGGTCGACCATCATGGCCGAAGCAAGCCAATCGCATGGCTTCGCCAAGGGACGCTGGCTCTCTCTTATCGGCTCCATGTGGTTGCTCGCATGCGCGGGTAACAGTTACAACTTCGCCATCTACTCGCCGACCATCAAGGCACGTCGCAATGCCGCTGGTTGAATTCCAGCACTTCCTGCACGCATGGATGAGAGCAGGCGGCAGCAGGCTGCGTGCGACATGACAGGGAAGGAAGGCGTCCAGAGCACGCTTATGTCTCGTCCTTGGTCAACACGAGCGTCGTGACGGCCTGCTGGTTGTACCCCAGCACTTCCTGGCATTGAAGGGAGCAGGCAAAGGGCACAGAAACGGCAGCACACCGCGTCTCACGTCATAAGGGGAACGCGTTTCAGAGCATGCTTATGCCACGAGGCCACTCCCAGTGTTTGTCACCGCGTGCTGATTGTACCCCAGCACTTCCTGCACGCATACACGAGAGCAGGCTAACAGCAGCAGACTATGTCTCACGATCATTCCGTGTACTCACAAGCGCGTGTGTGGTCCCACACCCAGGCTGCTACCATGCAGATTTACACCGGTGACAACATGGGAGTGGCATAAGCGTGACCTGTCACAGAAAACACAATATGTTTTCGTTTGCCTGTTCTCATGTGTGCGTGCAGGAGGTGCTGGGGTACAATCAGCAGGCGGTGACAACGCTGGGAGTGGCCAAGGACGTGGGCGACAACATGGGGCTGCTTGCGGGGCTGCTCGCTGACATGGTGCCGCCATGGCTCGTCATTGCCGTCGGCACTCTGCTGGTCCGTTCACTATTCAATTGATGCTCAAGAGTCTGCTGAACAATGACATTGACACTGACAATGACACTGACATTGACACTGATGTGACATTGCCATTGATACTGATTATGACATTGATATTGACATCCGCACTGACAATGACATTGATATCACGTTGCCATTGACAACTAATAATGACATAGACACGGATACTGACAATGACACTGACATTGACATTGCCATTGACACATGGCCATATCATTTCCATTGCCATCACCATTCCCACTGTCAGTGCCATAGCTACAGCCATAGCCATAGCCATCGCCATTGTTCCCATCCCCACAGCCATTGCCATTCCCATTGCCAATGGCACCAGCAGTGTAAGTCCATCACGTTCAGATTCTCCCTGGGCCTTCATACCACCTCATCGCCCTGCCTCTCTCCCTTGCAGCCATCTGCAGGTCTCGTCTCACATCACATGTGTTCTGCGCCGGTTCACCTGTGTGGCCTCGTCCACAACTTATATCTGTCTCTTTCCCCCTCTCCACGCCTTCCTGCCTGCCTCCAGATGCCTCTGCCCCTCTCTGCCTCGTGTGACCCTCTCTCTCCTGTGTGACCGTCTCTGCTCTGTGTGATTCCTTCCTTCCCCGTGCGACCCCTCTCTCCTCGCCTTGCAGGGCTTTGTGGGGTACGGCGGCCTGTGGCTTGTGCTCAGTCAACGGATAGCTGCACCACCCTTCTGGCAGGTCAGTTACTCAATGGGGTTTGTCAGCTGCCCAACAGGGCTTGTCAGCTGCACCGCACCAAGTCACAATGAACCATGTCGCACTCCAACAGGTCCATCTACTTCATCACGGTGGGCATCGTCTCTTCGCAGCTCTACTTCCCATTCCCTCTCAACACAGACCGCACACAACCGCACTTAACAGCACTGCTCCACCGCATTCTACCTCACTCATCTGCACTCCACCACACTCCACCGCATTCTACCGCACTGCACCGCTCTCCCCGCCCCTGCAGGTGCGGTGTCTGCTGTGCTGCGCCACCAACGGGTCCATCTACTTTATCAAGGCGGGCCTCGTCTCCTCGCAGCTGAACTTCCCATTCCCTCTCGCCACATACTGCACTCAAACGCACTCAACTGCACTCCACTGCACTCAACCGAGCTCCACTGCACTGCACCGTACTCAACTGCACTCAACCACTCTCCAACACACTCCACTGCACTCCTTGTCCCTGCAGGTGTGGTGTCTGCTGTGCTGCGCCACCAACGGGTCCATCTACTTCATCACAGCCGGCCTCGTCTCCTCGCAGCTCAACTTCCCGCACTCGGGGGGTGTGGTGGCGGGCATTGTGGTGGGCTTCATCGGCCTCTCTGGCGCCATCTTTGCACAGGTGCTGCTGGGAGGGGCAAGGGGATGGGTGGCGGAGGGGATGGGCAGCGCCGATGGGTGGGGGAGGGGACGGTGGTAAGCCAGCTCAACAACTTCCTGCACTCGGGGGGCATGGTGGCGGGTACTGTCGTGGGCTTCACTGGCCTCTCAGGGGCCATCTTTGCACAGGTACTGGAAGGGCAAGGGGTTGGGAGACACAGGGTGGGGAGCAAGGGGAGGGGAGAGTTTGTTACGTCAGCTCAGCTTCCCGCACTCACGGGGGGTGGTGGCGGAAATTGTGGTGGGCTTCATCGGCCTCTCCGGCTCCATCTTTGCACAGGTGCTGCTGGGAGGGTCAATGGGATGGGTGGCATGGGCTTGGGCTTGGGGTTAAGGGTTTGGGGGGAGGATCAGCAGGGATGTGGGAGGGCAAAAATGGGGCGGAGGTGGGATGAGGAGGTGGGGATTCGTGGGGAGATGAGTAAGGGGAGGCTGGTTAGGCAGCTCAGCATCCCGCACTCCGAAGTGTGTGGTGGCTGGCGGGCATCCTCGTGGGGTGGGCTTCGTTGGCCTCTCACAGTCATTGCCTTCATTCGCCATCTTTGCACAGGTACGGGGGCCCCAGAGTCTGTCTTTCTCTCAGAGTCTGTCTTTCAGGCGCCTCATACGCAGGCGCTGAGGAGGCAAGGGGTCTGTTTCTTCTGGGGTATGCGTATGTGGGGGTTCGCGATCCCTGCATGGCATGGCAGCAGCAGTAGGGAGGCAGCAGGGGAGGGCTGATGCTGCTGGGTCTGCAGCTGAACTCGCAACTGGGTCTGCCAGGCTCTCAACGGTCACCTGTGTGACGTGCTTTGTTTTCGCCCTTCAAACATGCATTAGAGGATTTTTGAGACGTCTCAAAAATCGTCACCTGTGTGATGTGCTTTGTTTTCGCCCTTCAAACATGCTCTAGAGGTGGGGCGTGGAAGGGGCGGGGGGAGGTGTTGTGCAGATGGTCGGAGGTGTGCCTGCTGTGCCTGGGCTGGCGAGGTGACGCCTGTTGCCTTTTGAGAAGTGGAGCCAGAAAGGGGGCGCGAGATAGGGCTGGGACAGGACGGCCATCTCCATCTCCTCCCGCCTTTTCTCAACAACCACAACTCCTCCTCCTCCCCTTCCTCCCAATCTGTCAACGCGAGGAGGAGTTGATGTCACACGACTTCCATCTCCTCCTCCCGTTGCCCTGCTTCCTCTGCCCTCTTCTGTGATCAACGTGTTACAGCACAGCACCACCTCGCGCCCATCTTTCATCCCGCACACTCTTGCCTCTCCCCTTTCCCTCTCCACACTGCTGTTCCCCTGACTCCCGCCCTCTCCCCTCCCTTACCCAGATCTACTCCGCGCTGCTCGCACCCAACCCACCAGCATTTCTGCTGCTGGCCTGCATTGGCCCCGCTGCTGTTGGCCTCCTCAGCCTCTTCATTGTCCGCCTCTTCCCCCCCCGTACGTCCTCTTCCCCCCCCGTACGTCCTCTTCCCCCCCCGTACGTCCTCTTCCCCCCCCGTACGTCCTCTTCCCCCCCCGTACGTCCTCTTCCCCCCCCGTACGTCCTCTTCCCTCCCCGTACGTCCTCTTCCCTCCCCGTACGTCCTCTTCCCTCCCCGTACGTCCTCTCCCCCACCCCCCCACACTTCCTCTCCACCAATGACTTTCAAGCAACATGAGCAGCCCATGAACCGCCACTTCTCTCCTCAGTTTTTTCTGCACAGCATGACACTCGCGCTGCTTGTCCTTGCAACCTGCCATCTTTCCTCCCAAAGTGCCCCTTGCCTCCCCATATGCCCCCTTGCCTCCCCATATGCCCCCTTGCCTCCCCATATGCCCCCTTGCCTCCCCATATGCCCCCCTGCCTCCCCATATGCCCCCCTGCCTCCCCATATGCCCCCCTGCCTCCCCATATGTCCTTTTCTCTCCCTGTCCCCCCCAGCCCCCCGCACAGCCAAGGTGGCAGCAGAGGAGACTGCAGGCTTCTCCCTCATCTTGCGCCTCTGCATGCTGCTCGCCACCTTCCTGCCTTACGCCCTGCCTTTTTTCTCCCCCTTTCCCTGTTCGCCCCCCGTTCACTCCCTATCCCCCCCAGCCCCACGCACACCCAAGGTGGCAGCAGAGGAGGGTGCGGGTTTTTCTCTCATCATGCGCCTCTGCATGCTGCTCGCCGCCTTCCTCCTCGTCGTCATCACCTCCCAGGCCTTCACCACCTTCTCACCGCACACCACCACTGCCATTACCATCACCATGCTCCTCCTCCTCCTCGCCCCTGCTTCCGTGCTCCTCCCCTCCCGCTCCCCCTCTTCTTCCACCGTCACCCCCTCCTCCTCTTCTCCCTCCTCTCTCACCCACCCACACGCACAGGGCCCCTCCGATCTTTCCCAGCCGTTGCTTCAATCGACGCCAGCCACGTCAGCAGCGGGCGCTCCTGGTAGTGCCAGTCCTGGGGCTAGCGTGCTTCCACCAATCAGAGAAGGAGAGACACTCCATGCCGCAAGCGCCCTCCCCCAATCCTCCCCTCCACCCAGTCACCCACCGGCATTCTCCCTCTCGCCCCACCACTCCGCCTTCTCCCCTCTCAGCCACAGAAGAACCTCCCCCAAAACCACCTCCCTTGAATACACCTCCCCATATAACAGCCCTCCTCCTCCTTCCAGCAGTCATACCCGCTCTGCTGCTCAAAACATTTCCTCATCTCCAGTAGCAGGAGGAGCAGGAAGAGGAGGAGGAGGATTGAGGGGTGCGGGAGCCATTTCGTTTGTGAGCCCTAATAGGTCCGGTGAAGCGCCGAAGCTAGGGCTCAGCAGCAGCATCACCGCAGCTGCCCACGCTAGCAGCTTCGGCACCCAAAGCAGTGTAGGCTCGGCAACCCTCATGCAGCTGCTCCTGGGCACGTCTGCTGACTCCCGAACCAACCGAAGCGGAGGTACGGGGAGCCAGCCCAGGTCCGGTGTACTCGATATAAGCAGTCCCCCTGCTAGCAGAAGGGCGCAGGGTATATCCAGCAGTGGTAGTCTGCGCAGTGCTAGTGGAGTGAAGGGGAGGCAAGCGGGGGAGCAAGAGACAGGAGAGGAAGGGATAGAGGGAAAAGAGGAAGAGGAGGGAGAGGGGGGGACGCAGGGAAGGCAGGTGCTAAGAAAACGAGCAGGGGGAGGAGGGACAGGAGGAAGCAGCTCGAGTCCTGATTATGGCCCTACGACCAATTGGATGCCGCCACGTGGCAGCCAGAAGAGCCTGAGCAGCCTGACTGAGGATGGTGACGTGGCAGGGGCGGCGAGTGTGGGTGGGAGGGAGGGCGAGGGCGGGGAGGACGACTGGAGCTACTAGTTTGGGGAAGAGGAAACCTCAGTCCATGGTAAGAACCAATCGAGAGTGACTGGAATCACCTCTCCCAAAGAGGGATACAGCAGGGGCGGAGATGATGGGGACGAGAATGAGGATGGGGAGGAGGAGGAGGAGGAGGATGAGCAGGAGGGGGAGGAAGAAGGGGATGGGGCAGGAGACGAATCAACTGAGCAAGCTCGCGCAGGAGGGGCAGCAGCAGCGGGGGGTAGGGTGTATCTGGGGCAGGACCATTCATTTGGGCAGGCGCTATCCACGGTGGATTTCTGGCTGCTGTACGGGGGGCTGGTGTGTGGCTTTGGCGCTGGGCTGACAGCCATCACGAGCCTGGCACAGATCGGAGAGGCGCAGGGGTGTGGCAACGCTCAGGTGCTCACTTCGCTCGTCAGCATCTGGCAGTTCCTTGGGAGGCTGGCTAGCGGGTCGCTCTCGGAGCACTTTGTCCGGTGAGAGAGTGGGAGGGGCGTGGGGGAGGGGGTGGATGGGTGGAGGAGTGTGGGGGTGGGGGATGCGCATGGGGTATGGAGGAATGAGGGATGGGGGATTAGAGATGAGAGGGATGGGGGATGAGGGAATGGGGCTGGTGTGCGGCTTTGGCGCTGGGCTGACGGCCATCACGAACCTGGCACAGATCGGCAAGGCACAGGGGTACGGCAACGCTCAGGTGCTCACGTCCCTTGTCAGCATCTGGCAGTTCCTCGGCCGGCTTGCCAGCGGGTCGCTCTCGGAGCATTTTGTCAGGTGGGTTTGTGAGGTTTGATAGGGGGTTTGATGGGGGAATGGGCGGTGTGGTGGGATGAGGGGAAAGGTGGAGGGGGAATGAGGGAGTGACCTTTCTTCCGTTCACAGCCACTGCCCCGTGAACCCCACAATTTGCACCTCAGCCCTCTCCTTCCACCCCGCCCTCTCCCCCTCCCCCTCCCCATCCCATCACAGAGCCCACGGCATGCCGCGCCTCATGGCCTTAGCAGCCATCCAGCCGCTCATGGCCTTAGCAGCCATCCAGATGCTCATGGCCGTGGGCCATCCGGCCTTTGCCTCCCGTGGCTCACTCCTTCCAACTTTCCCCCTCCCTTCCGCACATTACAGGGCCCATGGCATGCCACGGCCCATGGCTCTAGCAGCCATTCAGCTGCTCATGGCCGTCGGCCACCTGGCCTTCGCCCTGGCCCCACCAGGAGGCGTGTACCTGGGCTCTCTCCTCATAGGCTTCACGTACGGCGGCCTGTGTTCCGTCATGCCTGTCATTGCCGCTGAGCTTTTCGGCCGTCGCTGCCTCGGGCTGCTCTACAACTCCCTGCTCGCCGCTGCTCCCCTCGGCTCCTACCTCTTCTCAGGTTTGTTCGACCGCTGTATGTGGGATAGCTGCTCATACGATTCCCGCTAATGCATCGCGTGGGTTGGGGTGGAAGGGCCTCGCGTTTTTGTCTGTCACTCTGTCCGGTCGGTATGGCTGTTCTGCCTGCCTTTCAGCTCATATGCCTCATGGCTCTACACATGCCTGTCGTGCATCGCCTATCCATTGCCTGCCTCTCTGCCTCTCTCTGTCCCTTCTCCCAGGAGTGCTAGCGGGATACCTCTACGAGATAAAGGCGCTGAAAGAAGTGATTTTTGAGTCCGCTATAATTCCTGCCTGTCCATCGCCTGTCCATCGCCTGTGCATTGCCTGGCTGTCTGATTTTCCCGTCTCTCAGGAGTGCTGGCGGGATACCTCTACGAGATAGAGGCGCGGAAAGACAGGGGGGTCACAGCAGGCCTACTGGGAGCAGCATCGCTGCTAGCACCCGGGGGAGAGTGGGCCTTGGAGCCTGCCGGAGGTGTCGGGCACGTGGCCGGGGGCTCTGTTGCCTTCAAAGGTGTTCGGAAGACACTGGGGCTCCTGCTGCCAAAAGCGGCAACCACAGCAGCAGCTGCTGCAGCAGCAGGAACTGGAGCAACAGCAGGGGCAGCAACAGGGGCAGAGCACATTGGGCAGGGGTGGTTGGGATTCAGCTGGTTAGGGCAGGGAATGGGGGGCTGGTTCAGTGATGTTGTGGGCAGTGCAGGGAGGAGTGTAGGGGGTAGTGTAGGAGGGGAGGGTCCGAAGGCGTGTCACGGGGCGCACTGCTTCCGCCTCATCTTCCTCATTCTCACTGCCGTGTGTGTGCTGGGCGCTGCTGTCAACGTACTCGTTGCCTCCCGCACTGCCCGCGTGTACGGGCTTATGCGGCAGAGCGAAGGGGGAGGAGAGGAGACGGATGAAGTTGATGAGAAAGATGATGCTAGGTAGGTTAGCTATCAATCTAAGGAATGCTGTGTGCGGTACAGTAGGGTACCGGCCTGTTGGGGCTGAAACTGGGTGCTTCTGTGACGGTGATGCTACCAGCTTGTAGCGCGGTGGTAATGTGCTGATGTCATGGTGAACTGTCCGGGTGCATGCCTGATGAGGTCCCCCCTATGGCCTATTGGAGACGAGGGATAATACCGCATTTAAGGTTTAGGGTTTGGGTGATGTGATGCGATGTGATTGTCGCTTTGTTTATCCATTTAAAAGCAGAATACAAAATTGTGAACCCAACCCCAGCTTGAAATGGCCGAGACTCACTCGGGAGCCCCAGTTATTGTTTTGTATCCAACACAGAGCTGCTTCATAGTTTCAAGTGGACCCAACTAGAAGGGGGGGGGGGGGCACAATTTGCCTCCTGGCTTTAAGGTTCTGAGGATTCTTTGTGTAGTGCTGAACCTCCCACCTTGCTGGCGGATCTAACGGGGAATGGAAAGGACATGCTCTCACTATTGAGGTGCGAGAAGGTATACCTCCGTTCCCACAAAATATAAAAGCATGGAACTCCTGATATGCGAAGCTTTCTACTTGTAGGTAGGTATGTTTCACCAACACAACACCATTTTTTCAATCCTGTTATAAAAAACTCAGTGACATACTTGACCAAGAGCACCGGTGGTGTGTGGATGTCTAGTGCGCCCAAGCGAGGCATACGTAGGCTGGCTGGAACTTACATCCTTTCACCCCCACATGCACTGGAACTGCCATCCTTTCACCCCCACGTGCACTGGAACTGCCATCCTTTCACCCCCACATGCACTGGAACTGCCATCCTTTCACCCCCACGTGCACTGGAACTGCCATCCTTTCACCCCCACGTGCACTGGAACTGCCATCCTTTCACCCCCACGTGCACTGGAACTGCCATCCTTTCACCCCCACGTGCACTGGAACTGCCATCCTTTCACCCCCACGTGCACTGGAACTGCCATCCTTTCACCCCCACGTGCACTGGAACTGCCATCCTTTCACCCCCACGTGCACTGGAACTGCCATCCTTTCACCCCCACGTGCACGGGAACTGCCATCCTTTCACCCCCACGTGCACGGGAACTGCCATCCTTTCACCCCCACGTGCACGGGAACTGCCATCCTTTCACCCCCACGTGCACTGGAACTGCCATCCTTTCACCCCCACGTGCACTGGAACTGCCATCCTTTCACCCCCACGTGCACTGGAACTGCCATCCTTTCACCCCCACGTGCACGGGAACTGCCATCCTTTCACCCCCACGTGCACTGGAACTGCCATCCTTTCACCCCCACGTGCACGGGAACTGCCATCCTTTCACCCCCACGTGCACGGGAACTGCCATCCTTTCACCCCCACGTGCACTGGAACTGCCATCCTTTCACCCCCACGTGCACGGGAACTGCCATCCTTTCACCCCCACGTGCACGGGAACTGCCATCCTTTCACCCCCACGTGCACTGGAACTGCCATCCTTTCACCCCCACGTGCACGGGAACTGCCATCCTTTCACCCCCACGTGCACGGGAACTGCCATCCTTTCACCCCCACGTGCACGGGAACTGCCATCCTTTCACCCCCACGTGCACGGGAACTGCCATCCTTTCACCCCCACGTGCACGGGAACTGCCATCCTTTCACCCCCACGTGCACGGGAACTGCCATCCTTTCACCCCCACGTGCACGGGAACTGCCATCCTTTCACCCCCACGTGCACTGGAACTGCCATCCTTTCACCCCCACGTGCACTGGAACTGCCATCCTTTCACCCCCACGTGCACTGGAACTGCCATCCTTTCACCCCCACGTGCACTGGAACTGCCATCCTTTCACCCCCACGTGCACTGGAACTGCCATCCTTTCACCCCCACGTGCACTGGAACTGCCATCCTTTCACCCCCACGTGCACTGGAACTGCCATCCTTTCACCCCCACGTGCACTGGAACTGCCATCCTTTCACCCCCACGTGCACTGGAACTGCCATCCTTTCACCCCCACGTGCACTGGAACTGCCATCCTTTCACCCCCACGTGCACTGGAACTGCCATCCTTTCACCCCCACGTGCACTGGAACTGCCATCCTTTCACCCCCACGTGCACTGGAACTGCCATCCTTTCACCCCCACGTGCACTGGAACTGCCATCCTTTCACCCCCACGTGCACTGGAACTGCCATCCTTTCACCCCCACGTGCACGGGAACTGCCATCCTTTCACCCCCACGTGCACGGGAACTGCCATCCTTTCACCCCCACGTGCACTGGAACTGCCATCCTTTCACCCCCACGTGCACTGGAACTGCCATCCTTTCACCCCCACGTGCACTGGAACTGCCATCCTTTCACCCCCACGTGCACTGGAACTGCCATCCTTTCACCCCCACATGCACTGGAACTGCCATCCTTTCACCCCCACGTGCACGGGAACTGCCATCCTTTCACCCCCACGTGCACGGGAACTGCCATCCTTTCACCCCCACGTGCACTGGAACTGCCATCCTTTCACCCCCACGTGCACTGGAACTGCCATCCTTTCACCCCCACGTGCACTGGAACTGCCATCCTTTCACCCCCACGTGCACTGGAACTGCCATCCTTTCACCCCCACGTGCACTGGAACTGCCATCCTTTCACCCCCACGTGCACTGGAACTGCCATCCTTTCACCCCCACGTGCACTGGAACTGCCATCCTTTCACCCCCACGTGCACTGGAACTGCCATCCTTTCACCCCCACGTGCACTGGAACTGCCATCCTTTCACCCCCACGTGCACTGGAACTGCCATCCTTTCACCCCCACGTGCACTGGAACTGCCATCCTTTCACCCCCACAGTGCACTGGAACTGCCATCCTTTCACCCCCACGTGCACTGGAACTGCCATCCTTTCACCCCCACGTGCACTGGAACTGCCATCCTTTCACCCCCACGTGCACTGGAACTGCCATCCTTTCACCCCCACGTGCACTGGAACTGCCATCCTTTCACCCCCACGTGCACTGGAACTGCCATCCTTTCACCCCCACGTGCACTGGAACTGCCATCCTTTCACCCCCACGTGCACTGGAACTGCCATCCTTTCACCCCCACGTGCACTGGAACTGCCATCCTTTCACCCCCACGTGCACTGGAACTGCCATCCTTTCACCCCCACGTGCACTGGAACTGCCATCCTTTCACCCCCACGTGCACTGGAACTGCCATCTTTTCACCCCCACGTGCACTGGAACTGCCATCCTTTCACCCCCACGTGCACTGGAACTGCCATCCTTTCACCCCCACGTGCACGGGAACTGCCATCCTTTCACCCCCACGTGCACGGGAACTGCCATCCTTTCACCCCCACGTGCACGGGAACTGCCATCCTTTCACCCCCACGTGCACGGGAACTGCCATCCTTTCACCCCCACGTGCACTGGAACTGCCATCCTTTCACCCCCACGTGCACTGGAACTGCCATCCTTTCACCCCCACGTGCACTGGAACTGCCATCCTTTCACCCCCACGTGCACTGGAACTGCCATCCTTTCACCCCCACGTGCACTGGAACTGCCATCTTTTCACCCCCACGTGCACTGGAACTGCCATCTTTTCACCCCCACGTGCACTGGAACTGCCATCCTTTCACCCCCACGTGCACTGGAACTGCCATCCTTTCACCCCCACGTGCACTGGAACTGCCATCCTTTCACCCCCACGTGCACTGGAACTGCCATCCTTTCACCCCCACGTGCACTGGAACTGCCATCCTTTCACCCCCACGTGCACTGGAACTGCCATCCTTTCACCCCCACGTGCACTGGAACTGCCATCCTTTCACCCCCACGTGCACTGGAACTGCCATCCTTTCACCCCCACGTGCACTGGAACTGCCATCCTTTCACCCCCACGTGCACTGGAACTGCCATCCTTTCACCCCCACGTGCACTGGAACTGCCATCCTTTCACCCCCACGTGCACTGGAACTGCCATCCTTTCACCCCCACGTGCACTGGAACTGCCATCCTTTCACCCCCACGTGCACTGGAACTGCCATCCTTTCACCCCCACGTGCACTGGAACTGCCATCCTTTCACCCCCACGTGCACTGGAACTGCCATCCTTTCACCCCCACGTGCACTGGAACTGCCATCCTTTCACCCCCACGTGCACTGGAACTGCCATCCTTTCACCCCCACGTGCACTGGAACTGCCATCCTTTCACCCCCACGTGCACGGGAACTGCCATCCTTTCACCCCCACTTGCACGGGAACTGCCATCCTTTCACCCCCACGTGCACGGGAACTGCCATCCTTTCACCCCCACGTGCACGGGAACTGCCATCCTTTCACCCCCACGTGCACGGGAACTGCCATCCTTTCACCCCCACGTGCACGGGAACTGCCATCCTTTCACCCCCACGTGCACGGGAACTGCCATCCTTTCACCCCGACGTGCACTGGAACTGCCATCCTTTCACCCCCACGTGCACTGGAACTGCCATCCTTTCACCCCCACGTGCACGGGAACTGCCATCCTTTCACCCCCACGTGCACGGGAACTGCCATCCTTTCACCCCCACGTGCACTGGAACTGCCATCCTTTCACCCCCACGTGCACGGGAACTGCCATCCTTTCACCCCCACGTGCACTGGAACTGCCATCCTTTCACCCCCACGTGCACGGGAACTGCCATCCTTTCACCCCCACGTGCACTGGAACTGCCATCCTTTCACCCCCACGTGCACGGGAAGTGCCATCCTTTCACCCCCACGTGCACGGGAACTGCCATCCTTTCACCCCCACGTGCACGGGAACTGCCATCCTTTCACCCCCACGTGCACGGGAACTGCCATCCTTTCACCCCCACGTGCACGGGAACTGCCATCCTTTCACCCCCACGTGCACGGGAACTGCCATCCTTTCACCCCCACGTGCACGGGAACTGCCATCCTTTCACCCCCACGTGCACGGGAACTGCCATCCTTTCACCCCCA